TTAGCTCATGTCGACGGCGGATGTCAAAGAATACTTCTACGGAGAGCATAATACAAATATTTGTGTAACCGTGTCAGTGAGTTTATTTATTGAATATCTACTCGGTCACGCCGAGGGTTGCTTATATTAGTAGGTATATATATTTGGTTTGGCATAAAAATTGGGTAAATATACCCAAGTAGTAGGTACTTGATATATTACGCAGCTTTAAATTTAGTGTAGCATACAAATACTGCTACAGATTCTAAATAATACAATATTAATAAACAAAATAGAACTTGAAATTGTATAATGATATGACATAATTTGATATTACTCAAAATATAGGTAGGTCTATCATGTATATTTATTTAATTATGAGTTTCAAATAGATAAAATAAATAGATACAATAATACAATATTAATAAACAAAATAGAACTTGAAATTATATAATGATATGACGTGTTTGAAATCGATAAAATAAATAGATAATTAATATATGATGAATAACAAATAGATATATATTATGTAAATACATATGACTTATATATGATATAGATGTATGTATATTGTATACCTACCTAATAGTATAGTTATATAAATTAAGCATATTATGAAGTATGTACATGAATTAATAATGAAATTAGTACATAATTTGGTCTATAGATATAAATAAAGTTCCTACACAAAATATTTTAATTCCTCCTAATACAATGACTGTAATATTATTATACACATCATATGCCATGTATATTTATTTAATTATGAGAATTAAATTAATTTGATAAATAACAAATGAAATGATATTATACACAATTTTATAATTTAATAAGTAATAGTTAGACTGACGTAGATTGCTAAAAGTAAAAGCATTTTCGTGGTTTGATTTAAATAAACATTAAAGTTATAATAATGGATTAATATTATATTAAAACGTCCATTGATAACGTTCGAATCCATTATAAATGTACCTACATAATATTATAATAAAGAATTGCATGTATAATTAATGTATAAAATATGTATGTGAGAGTGTATACGGCTCATGATGGTTCAGTCCTACTATCTTAGTTCAGATGGATTAGTAATCGACAACGTTCAAAATCTTCATCGAAGAGTGTATTACAATATTTTAATTTATTACAGTTTTTAGGGGAGTTAAAGTTAATATTGGTTGACGTAGGTAGTCAAATTTGGTAATTATAACTTTATTGTAACATACTAACATACCTACTGCAAATACTGCTACATAATTTAATAATAGTGAATAAATAGATCTTTGTGTATTTAAGTAAAGTCTGGTAGTTAAATAATTGTACAATAATATGACATCATTTTCTATACTTTTTGATGTTCCTTATATTGGTTGGTTTAATTATGAGTATTGACTCAAATTAATAAATGTATAATTGATAAATAGCAAATTAAATTATTGATATACATAGCTATTTTAATAGTAATAACAATACACGTATTCAATGCAGAACAATACATAAAACTATACTATGAATGTATTGTATATATTAGCATACGTGTATGGTAAAAATATTTTATTTTTTAACATAATTCAATGTAGGTATAGTAATTTAGTATTATACTGACTTGCCTCTGAGGACGCCATTTATACCGTTGAATGTCAAATAGTTGAACGTCAAAATCTTGAACGTTAATATATTGAACGGTAAAATCTTGAACATAAATTTATGTCAATATCTTGAACATTCAAAACCTTGAACGTTACAACCTTGAATTTCAAAATATTGAACACAAAAATTATTTCCGTCAAAACCTTGAACGTCAAAATATTGAACACAAAAATTGTTTCCGTCAAAACCTTGAATTTCAAAATCTTGAACACAAAAATTATTTCCGTCAAAACCTTGAACATTAAAAATGTACCACCCAATTTTTTTTTATATTAAATTTAGCATTTTTTTACAATTTAATAAGAACCATAGACCTTAATACTTATACTTAGGTATACTTTGACCTTACTATCTTCTAATATGCCATCTTATAATAAGTGGTAAATATAGTACCTATAGATAGTTAATGAATAATGATACAGATATCCTAATAGCTTTATGGTTGTTAGTGAATAGTGGGTAAAGTGGGAAACCATTCAACAGCTAAAATTAGCCTAGTATAAGGCCTAATATAATGTCAATAAATAGCATCTCATTTTAATTATATACAGTCTTGTTAAGAATATTTTTCAAATGTATTCAGAATACGTATTTATTATTTAAAATTTAAATACTTGGTTTCATTTGTATTTAAATATAAAATATACAAATACATTTTAAAAGTATTCAAAATACTTTACAAGTGCCTACTATTTTTTAGTACCTATACCTACCTAGATTAAAACGCACAAATGTATACTCAAAATTATTAATAAATATGTAAATGAAATAATCAATAAATACATTTTTTAATAATTGGTTCAACAATTTCATAATTTTAGATGTCATACTGTTGATGTTATAACTTTTATGTTATTAATATAACAACATCAGAAAAGTAGATATGGTTAGGTTAGGTTACCTTGGGTATTGTGTCATCTGTCATCAGTCATAATAAGCGTATTCAATAAAATATTAAAAATGTTTAGAACTTAGGATCATTTTAAAACCAAATTTTAATAATATTGTATTATAGGTAGGTACGTAACAAAAATATATGTATTTTTTTAATTGATCTTTAAAGCCCGGCGACTATGGCCATCAGCTGATTGTAGGTAGTAGGGTTTGTAATGGTAGGGTTTTTACACGTGTGTGTTGTGTTTGACAGAATTTTTGATTGGGCACCTGTAGGTATCTGACATGCCCGGGTGCGGGATGGCGGAAATTTTTCTCCGGACACCGTGACGTCCGAAGAAAAATGCCACCCGTGGCCAAGGAATCGAAATCGGGTCGGCTGCGTCGCAGCCGACGCCTTAGTCCGCTCAGCCACTCCATCCCCCCAAAAAAATATTGTTCATTAAAATTCGACACTTTAAAAAAAAAATGATAATCACTTGCTTGTTGCGCTCTCTCGGATAATTTAAATCATAAACATCCCTCGACTTGTTATGTAAAACCACTTTGGAAGGGCCTTGAACACCTCGGACCACAAATAACTAAATTTTCAGAACTAAGTCCGACGGCCAAATTTTTTAATTTGAATTTCAAACGCTAATAAAAATTTAATTTGACTTTCTTATAGACATTTTTTTTTTTGATAAAGGTAGATAATCTTATAAGGAATCTTGTATTACATTTTAAAATCTTAGATTTAAAAAGAAAAATTTTTACGAATTCTTCACTCAAAATAATTTGCTAATTTTCGTAATTTTTCCATATTTTGTCAATTTTTGAACTTTAAATGCTTATAAAAAAAAACTGTGACTAAGGATTTTTAATATTTTTCATATGCCTTTGAAACAATATACTAGGAGCCTTCTATTAAATTTTCAAGCTTTCGCAACCATCAAATAAAATGGAAAATGAAAAAATGGAAAAATGGAAAATGAAAATGTCCCTAAACAGTTCAAAATAAATCAAAATATTTTGAAAATGTTATCGTGTATAGAAAATGCAAATATAAACAACCAGTGAAAATTTCATGTATATACGTTCATTTGTTTTAGAGTTACACCAATAACCAAAATCGATTTTTTGGAAAACCAATTTTGCGTAAAAATTCCCGTTTTTCCTTAATTTTTATGTTGTTTTTCTCGGGCGCTTGTGAAAACTACTGGAAAATTTTTACTTTTGACCCCCCAAAGTACCAACTAGATTCACTTTCCTATCAGAAAAACTACTGTTGAAGAAAATCCAAGCACTTTTACTGTTCTAAAACGTGATGACAAACACAAAAATAAAAATAATAATTAAAAAAAAAACACACATCATTGTAAAATCAATACATTCATCGTTTCACTCAGAATCTAAAACAGTGTGAATAGTTCACTTATAAACATAACATAGAGTGTTTTGTTTATTCTTCTTCTTCTTCTTCTTGGGTATTATCGGTATTGTTTATAATTTCATGAATAATGTTATTACCAATTATTGTATTTTTATTGCCTTATTAAAATAATGTACAGGTAAATATTGCCACAAAATAGTTGTTACCAATTTCGCACTTTAAAATGTTTGTATGTTATTGTACATTATTGATAATTATTTACAAATTTCTAAGCACGATATTTTAATACGTTATATTATTGTATTACTTCGTATTTACTTGTACCTAAATGACGAATTGAAACGGGTCGACGGTAGTTATCAAATATCAACCATTTGATCTTCCTTATCTACTTAAACATTTCTTATTAATGTAATATAATTTGTAATATTTTAATATTAAAATCCAACAATTAATAAATTAAAACCATTAAATTTATCTGAACTAACATTGATGCATTCATGTATAAATAAATTACACAATATTATATACTGAATTTGTTTTGGAAATGGATATATAAATTAACTTTATAGTAGGTAGGTAGGTAATGTTTTTTTTTCAATTCTACACAATAATAACTTAGCCGTAATAAAATAAAAAATGTAAATCTCATTAATTGTATTACTTTCTTATGTAAGTACACTCAATTATTTTTTTATTTAAAATCCGCAATCTGTTTTTTTTTAAAGGTCCATACTAATTTAATGAAGTAATGAATATATTTTATATTTTATAGTATATAAATTAAAGTTATATTACAATATTCTAATAATATAATATTGTTGTATAAATTATAAAATAATTTGATATAAATTGTATTTTACTTCAAATATTATAATATCATTATATTTTATTTATAATATGTGTACACAGACTGCGTACAGTACCATTATTGGAGCAATGTGTGACAGCATATTCTTAAAGAATCCAATAGTAGTAATATCTAAAAACAGATTTAAATTTATCAAACACTTATTAGACCCTTAAATAATTAAATCCCTTTATTGTTTTAATAAGGCATACTCTTTTTATTTAAATAAATTATTATTATCTATATAATATATAATTATTATGACCAAATTCTTAAAAATGCTGTAAATTGCTGGTTACATAATGGACAGCGTTGCGGGTCCAATAATATTAGGCAATCACCACACACAGCTATGTGTCCACATGGTATGAACGCATGCGTTTTCTCTGAAATAGAGCAAACTACACACATTCGATCAGAGTTGGTAATTGGAGGAAGAACAGACGGAACCTGAACAAATGGTAAATTTTCTATTTCCAACATTCTTATTCTATGGTCAGTTTCCATCATCCGTATCATATCAGGATCTAATTCCTCTTCAATAATAAAATGATATATTGTTACAATATCAGTTGAAAAATATTAAAAATACTTAGGCACAATTTCTTTTTATAAGCATTTAAAGATCGAATTTTGACAAAAGTATTAAAATCTCGAAAATTATCAATCATTGTAATTAAAAATTATAATATGTTCAATTTTTATAGCTAAGGATTGCAAAACAAAGGTTCTCATAAATAGTTCATACTGTAACCAAAAAATCTAAAAAATATATGAACACGGTTATTTTTTACAGACATTTTAAATTCAAATTTGGACGAAATTACATAGGTAATAAAAAACCTAGAATAACTATTTTAGTTATTTTGTTGTGATTGTATAATATTATTCGTGGGTACTTGAAACTTCTAAAATCTAAAGTATACTACTATATATCTATGATAGTATCAGAGTTTGTTGTTGGTGTATAACGCGTTATAAGTACCTAATGGATATTGTGATATGATTAATTTGGAATTCATTATAGGTCAATTTTTTTTAATACCATAGATAAGTATATAATATGCAAAGGTGGGCATTAACTTGTTAAAAAGTTAAAGTTAAGTTAAAAAGTTAATTTTTTTTTAACTTTTTAACTTAACTAGTTTATTATTTTTGTTTTTAACTTATTAACTTATTCAGTTAAAATGTTTATTGTTGTAACTTAACTTTTTACAGTTAATTATCATTGTCATGCAGTTAAGTTAATTTAATTTTTGAGTTATGCGTAATCAACTAGGCAATACCGATTGGTCGACTTTTTTACGATTTTAGTAATTTATTTTCGAATTATGTATTATAATAATTAAATTTTTTACACAGTGTTAAATATCTTGGTAAATGTTTTTGTATAACAAAATACTATGGTAGTATATGACTTAAAAATATTGTACCTTCAAAAAAATTAACTTTTTTTTAACTGAGATAAGTTAATTTTATTTTCTCTATTAACTTTTAACTTATCTAGTTAAATTTTTTTTCCTTGTTAACTTTTAACTTAACTGAATACAATTTAAATGAATTAACTTAACTTTCCAAAGTTAATTATTTTCATTAACTTGCCCACCATTGATAATATGTCTTATACCTAGAAGGACATACCGTCTCCGCTCAGAATCGTTTTTCTGATACAAATGATATAATATTATTGAATTCAAATGTAATACCATCCATTAAACAGTGACCCACTTGTAACCTACCGTACAGCAGAGCGACACCCACTTGCCCACCTTTTTATTAATAAATTTAATAAATTAAATAAATAATATAAAAATATAATTATTATTTACATATGAATTGAACGTAACCTCAATTGAGTGGTAACCTTCTAACACCTGAACCGTGATTACACTAATTAATAATTCGTTTTCATAGCTTACAATCTATGATTTTTTAATATTATTAGATTATGATTTTTTGTATGTTTTTTTTTGCTTTTGAAAGATTTTGAAAGTTGGATAAATTACTGGAAAATTTGTTACCTACACCGACCATTTAAATAGGATCTCCATAAAATTCTCTATCGATAAACTTAGGATTTCACTATTCATCGTTCTCGTATGTGGGATTAATCTCATCCACAAACAGACGACCACAATAGTTTTGATAGAGTATATACCTAATATCATAATATATATCTGTCATTTACTAATTTACTAAACGTCTATACCTATTGGCTATTGTCCAGCGTTAGTAGATTTCAAGACATGTCATATTATAGTATTATAACAAAATACATTTAATTTTAATAATTTTCGAGACGTATGTATCATTAACTTCGATGATTGAATTTTAAACTTAATCAATTACCTATATAAGCAATTGATCATGTACTCATGTTTAACACTCTTATAGATTTATTATCGATGTGATTATATGAATAGGTAACTACTTCTAGGAAAACTACTGGCATAGAATGTTGTACGATGCTGATAGCGTAATTACCAAATTCGAATAAACGTATGTGAATATGTAATAGTTTTAAAGTTCAATAAATCATTTATTAGTAGATCGTTGTAAATGACGTTCACATAAGATAATATTGTACTTTTTAGTTCCCAAACGTTTCGGTTTTAAGCCCTTCTAAAACGTACTCCCGGAGTCGGGGGTCCTCAATTTTCAACGCAGTGACACCTCTAAATCAAATTTCTGCTCTCAAAAAAGCCGCGTATCGATCTAAAAATTGACAAATTGACAAAACAAAATTACTCGCTAATTTTTTTTTTTTGAATAATTTAAATTTTGAACACTTAATTTACCTCCTTAATAATGTGTTAAACAACTTTTAGCATCTGGGAAATGATGTAGGTACGATTCTGCTTTGATCCTTGTAAGTTTTATAGGAGTAGGACTTATATTGTAGGATTTAGGTTTTTGTTAGATTTTTCAAAACCAAAATTAAAATTCAAGTTTTAGGATAAAAAGTTATTACACGTGTTGGGAATTCTAAATGTGTCTATTCAAAACCATTTTAAAACTAAATGTTTAGGCATAATGATATACGGGGTGTTGTGACTATTTTAGTCCAATACATAATAAAAACCAGCTTATAAATTATTATGTCATATTAACATATTAACTAGAAAAAACAATTCATTTTATTCTATAAACTAATTATAAAATAAATAATAAATATTTAAATTTGTATTGGATATTTTATAACATTAAACTATTGTTTGATATAGTACAAATTACTAATTGGATTGATTATATTGAATTACAATATTATAATATTTATTAGTAATTATTGAGAGAAAAAAAGAAAATACATTGGAATATTGTAATTTATTATTTGTCCCCGGACACAGTGAGCGATGTAGGTACAGAACTACAGACCTGCATTTGTCATTCAAAATTCTAGGCAGAGTTATAATACATAAACAGTCAAACAGATGTATTATAGTTATGTCATTATGTGATATACTGATATAGGCTCATTATACATATTAGTTACCGACAGTGATGGGAAAATAGTCCAACAATGGGCAAAAATTCTGTCTTAAACATTACAGTAAATTACACAATAAACGAATCACAAAAATAGTTGATTGATAAATTGGTAATATTAAGGACATCAAGGGGTCAGTTCTTCTTTTAGGCTCTTATGAGTAATTCAATTTTAAAAATAATAACGTACCTAAATAATTAATTAGTACAGTGCAAAATATTTTTTATCAGCCTTGCCTCGTGAATAGTGATACGTAAAATACCTAATAGTTATAGTACCTAATCGGCTAGAAAAGTATAAAACGAGTATATATACGACAGTATAATAATATAATGCAGATCGACATATTAAAAATCCTCGTTAAAATATTATAATACAATTATTATAGTGTACCTCTGCGTAAGTATATACAGTTAGAGTCGGTATACCAATAATAGTCGTAATAATGGCATTTGGAAAAATTAACGGGCCCGAAATCCAGCTGATGCCGGTCGATTAATATAATAATGTGCTGGCTACTAATAAACGATGTTTGTTTTAAATCATCGTCGACGGCCCAGGAATAAATACCGAAATCGGCACATTTGCAACTCATCTGAGTATAATCTGACACCTTACGCGGACAAAAAAAAAAAACCTGAACAAAAAAAAATCGCATCGCATAACGAAGAAAAGGAAATGGAAACAACCATCATGCAAATCCTGGGAAGATAATAAGCAACGTCGAGTACGAGATTATGGAAGAAGAACTTAAACGAATCGACGACATCGACCAGGAACCTACCATCGGTGACCTGGAAGGACTTTTATCGTATGCGACGCGCTTCGCGGGGGACGACTACGTGCCGTTCAACCGCGTCTTTCAACCGGTCGACAAATCTGGCGAAACGGCAGAACCGGTTGAACCGATCGTTGACGACGTCGTAGTGGTCGCGCCTCCGGTGCAGGAAGCCGCGGAAAAGGAGCTGGGTGGGGAGGCGGTGGGCGCCACACCGGCCAGAGGACTGGAAGTCAGAAACAGTATTGGGATCTTGATTGGTTGGCTGGACCCGGGGATCAAGACAGAAACAAGCGCAGCTCCGCGCAGTGCAACGGCGAGATTGATGTCCTCTGCGTGGAGAGGCCTGACGAGAGCCGCACGCGTGTTGCGCTGTTGTTGTCCCCCGAAGTGAAACCGTCCAAAAGTTTCCCCCCTGGCCGAGGGCAGCGGACAAGGCGAGGCGACGTGTGGGGTTTCGAGGTAATAGGTACGCGGCAGTGCACATTCAGGTGGTGACCGGCGGTAAGTCGCCGATACGCGTTCTCCGGCCATCCTGCGGTAGCGCGACGGGATCGCGGACGTTGCGAGCTCGAGGTCGCCGAGACACGCGAGACCCTCTGGCGGCCGCCCGGCTGCTTCGGTCCGGGAGCGACGACGACACGACGACGGAGGTTAGCGGTACCGGCGCGGACAACGACGCCGTCCCCGACGGTACCTGCTCAGTGACGAACGCTGCAGTGCTGCGCGACTCGCGTGACGGCGGCGACGGACACCTCAGAGCTCATGGCGGGTGAGTGACGGATGACTATGATTACAGGGTAGCTAGGAACGCCACGGACGTCAGCAGCGCTGGGCTCGAGGAAACGAAACGTTTTGTCGGGTTCGGCGGTGCGCGGCTCCGTGGCCATCGGCTGCGAGACCGAGACCGCTGGAGACGCCAGGGCGAAAATCACGGAGACTATCAGGACAGCGGCGCGTCGCGAAGCTGTCTGCAGATTCTCTCCCCTTTTCGCCCAGTGGTCCGATCCCGAGTCGCAACGCCGCCGATTCCGCAGCTGCACCGAGATCGTAGTCGCCAGCTCGCCTTTCCGAGCTTTGCAGGTCAGGTTAGGTTGCCGGCACAAGCAGTCGTCTTCAGCACCCGCAGTACCGTCAAGCAGCGCACGACATCGCGCACTAGCCTCTCGTCGCCAACCGTCGTCGCTCTCGCAGCCGTCGTGGCCGGGCTTCGTCCGCTGCCATGGTCGTCTTAGCGGTCTC